ATAACACAGAATCAGAATATTCTTATACAGTATATGTATACAGGATTTTTGTCCTAAAAACAGCAAGTTAATGCTAATAACAGAATATATTAACATGAATCTGATTATGTCCTAAATGAGGTACTATGACCATCTCTGTTAGAAAAGCTCTAATCATTTTAATTTATTTTTTAAAATATATTTTATTGACTTTTTTACAGAGAGGAAGGGAGAGTGATGGAGAGCTAGAAACATCGATGAGAATCATCAACCAGCTGCCTCCTGCACACCTCCTACCAGGGATGTTCCCACAACCAAGGTACATGCCCTTGACCGGAATCGAACCTGAGACCTTTCAGTTGACAGGCCAATGCTCTATCCACTAAGCCAAACCGGTTTTGGCTAATCATGACATTTTTAAATGTGATTTTTTGTTAGGTAGCTTAAGATGCAGTCTAGTATAATCTAATGATTAAGATTTCTGGCTCTGCAGTTAACTGGCCCTGGATTCAAATTCCAGCTCTGCCACTTACTAGCTGTATAACCATTGTCAGGTTACTTAATTTCTTGAAGCCTCAGTTTCCTCACCTGTAAAGTGAGAATAAATACCTTCCTGTCTCAAAGTATGATTATGAGATTAAGTGAGATCATGTATTTAAAGTATTTATCCCAGTCCCTAACACATATTTAGTGTTCAATGTTAGCTGTTTCTACTACTGAAAAAAAACAACAGGAAAATATTCAGAGGATTTCTTAATACATGTGAGTAAAATTTAGTTTGAAAAGGGGAAAGTTTAGGAGTGACCTGAGGAAAGTCATGAGATACATGAGGAATTTTTCATTTAAAAACAAAATATTTTTATTGATTTTTTAGAGAGACAGAAAGGGAAGGAGGGGGAGAGAAACATTGATGAGAGAGAACATAGATCAATTGCCTCCTGCACTCCCACTACTGGGGATGGAACCTGCAACCCGGGCATGTGGCCTGACCAGGAATCAATTCAGTAACCTCTTGGTACATGGGACAACATTCAACCAACTGAGTCACACTGACTGGGCGAGAATTTTTTATTTTTAATAAAAAACAAATAGTTACTTGAATGGAAAAAGACCTAGCATCAATGGCTTTATATTAAGCAGCAAGATAGTTCAGCTGAAGTGGCTCAGTGGTTGAACACTGACCTATGACCAGGAAGTTACAGTTTAATTCCAGTCAGGGCACATGCCTGGGTTGAGGGCTTGATCCCCAGTGGGGGGCCTGCAGAAGGCAGCTGATCAATGATTCTCTCACATTATTGTTTCTCTCTGTCTCGCTCTCTCTCTCTCCCTCTCTCTCTCTCTCCTTTAATCTCTAAAATCAATAAAAATATTTTTTAAACAATTAAGCAAGATATTTGAGTTATACAGAAGGATGAATTTCTCGACTCTGAAATGTTATATAATACCGCTCCTGTTTCAGATTGCTTGGGTAGAATTACAATTTCTTGATATATTTAAGAATAGGACACACAAAAATCTTATGTTGGATGGCTTCTAGTAGTCTTGCCTAGGAGTAAGGAAGGAGAATGAAATGGCCTTTTGAACTCCTTTTGTTCCTAGAGTCTGTGACATATCTGACCAAGGTACCAATTAGAACAGTAACTATCTGATGTAGATACTCTTAATGATTTCACCACCAACTTTATCCAGAAAGAGTAGATTCTTCAAAGTGTCTCCTTACACAAAATGAAAATAGTGGTAACTCATAATTTTACTTGGAAATTTGCATTTCTTGGCTAGATGGTTGGAGAATAAGAGTAGGTGGTACAGATGTGGTGTCTCCATAAGGCTTCAACAGGAACTGGAAACCATTCTGGAAAAATGTAGTTAAAGGTGATGTAAAAAGAGATGAATACATTCTTGTGGAATGGTTTTTCCTCCCCTGATCTTGTGGCAAACATGAAAATCTTGGAAATTTGCCTTTGGCAGCATGAACATAGAAACCACATACCCATACCTCCCGCTCTACTGCAACCTCCCATCCTCTACTGACCCATCTGACCACCTAGATACACTTTCACAGCAAACCCCAACCTCTTCTTTCCATACATTTCTTTGGGGCAAGTAAGCATCTCTGGAGCCAACACCAAATATAGACTAGAACCTTCTTGAAAGCACTCAGGGACCAGCACTCCTGTTTTCAATTATTTTCAATGAGTATTCATGACCTACTTTTCACCTAGAAATCTAGATAAACAGGAGCCAGGACAAACATGCTCACAGGATAAAATGCTTTAAAAACTCAATTAGGGATGATGATTATCTAGTTTATATGTAGCTTATCTACCTATACGAAGCTCTTCACTTTTCTCTCCCTTCCTATTTGATTTATGGCCCTTTTATTACTTAGACAAATCTACAAAGGACAAAGTAAAGAAAAAACCTAAAATGTGATGTTTTGGTTACTCAATAATACTTCATATAAAATGATATAATGGAAGGAGCAAAACTAAAGGCTAAAAGATTTGAAAATAAATTCAATGTTAAACATGTAAATGCTACTCTAGTCCTATCCCCTACGTAAGTTATTTAAATTTTGACATTTTGGGAGGAAGGAAGGAAAGGAGCAAAATTACATACTTGGGCTCCAAAGTTCCCGCCTTCTGCCATTTTTCTTCAATGCCAGATGCCCACAGCCTCAACATGGCTTCAAAATATCTTTGCTGCCGAAACCGGTTTGGCTCAGTGGATAAAGTGTTGGCCTGCGGACTAAAAGGTCCCAGGTTCGATTCCGGTCAAGGGCACCCCCAGTGAGGGGTGTGCAAGGGGCAGCTGATCAATGTTTCTCTCTCATTGATGTTTCTAACTCTATCCCTCTCCCTTCCTCTCTGTGAAAAATCAATAAAATATATTTAAAAAAAACATCTTTGCAAAGGTAACTGTATATTTAATAGCATTTTTTGTTATGCATCATCACTGTTTAGTAAGCAGTGATACAGTATTATCTGTTTACCACGGGTGAAAAGACAAATAATTTAATGACTTATCTAAAGTTACATAATATATCAGCAGATTTATTTAAAAACTAGACTCTATGACTTCCCAGCCCAGCATGCTTTTCATTAGCCTATGATAATATTAGCAGGATCTTATTATTTAAAATTAATAGCTAGAATAGTGGCTACTATTTATCAAGCCCTAACCATATGCTTAGTCCTATATAGTCTCTCTCTTAATTCTCACATTATCCCTGTGAAAAAAGTACAACTACTGTGTTATCTTCTTTTGGCAGGTGCTGAAAACATGGTGTAGAGAAGTAAATAATTTGCCCAGGGTCAATCAGCTAATACGTGACAAAGCTGAGATTCAAATCCAAAACTTTTACTATAGTTTGTGGTCTTTATCTCCAATAATGTTCCACTCCCTAGACCAAGGAATATATTATATATAACTCACTACACTTGAGGAGGGGGGAATCAACTCCATACACTATACTCGAGAGCCACATGCAGCTCTTTATCCCCTTGAGTGTGGCTCTTCTACAAAATATCAAGGCCTGGGAAAGTCTACTTTGAAGAAGTGGCGTTAGAAAAAGTTTAAGTTTAAAAAATTTGGCTCTCAAAAGAAATTTCAATTGTACTGTTGATATTTGGCTCTGTTGACTAATGAATTTGCCACTGGACTATACCATTAAAAATTAATCAAGCCCTAACCAGTTTGGCTCAGTAGATAGAGCGTTGGCCTGTGGACTAAAGGGTCCTAGGTTCTATTCCAGTTAAGGGCATGTACCTTGGCTGCAGGCACATCCCCAGTAGGAGGTGTGCAGGAGGTAACTGATCGATGTTTAGCTTTCATCAATGTTTCTAAGTCTCTTTTCCCCTCCCTTCCTCTCTATAAAAAAATCAATAAAATATTTAAAAAATTAATCAAAACAACTTATAATAGTGAAACCTGTGTAAAGTTCTGATGCTTTCCTTACACACAGTCCAAATAGATTAAATCTCCATTGAATTTACCAATACTGCCATATGTATGCTGCTGCTTCATGTAAAACTAGGCATTCCATCTATATATATAAAAGCCTAAGCGACTGTTATGACCAGATGACCAGCCGGTAGCTATGACATGCACTGATCACCAGGAGGTAGAAGCTCAACATGGGAGCTGCCCCCTGGTGGTCAGTGTGCTTCCACAGCCAACTTCCCGTAGCCGGCCAACCTCCTGTGGTCCCTCCCTCTGGCTGGCCAACCCTGATCACCAGCCAGGCTGAGGGATCCCACATATGCACAAATTCATGCACCAGGCTTCTAGTTTGTTAATATTGTAACAGTAGCCAAAATCGGTTTGGCTCAGTGGATAGAGCATTGGCCTGCGGACTGGAAGGTCCGGGTTCCATTCCAGTCAAGGACATGTACCTTAGTTGTGGGCACATCCCTGGTAGGGGGTGTGCAGGAGGCAGCTGGTCGATGTTTCTCTCTCATTGACGTTTCTAGCTCTCTATCCCTCTCCCTTCCTCTCTGTAAAAAAACAATAAAAAATATATTTTAAAAAAATATTGTAACAGTAGGGACCAAAACTGCTCCTACTCTAACTAGAGCATAGCATGTCACGTGACAAAAAAATTATAACAAGTCAGTATGTGGAAGCATTTTCCAGGCATTTCGTAGTGCCAAGGAATAAATAATGGGCTGATAAGGCTTATAGTATACCCATGATCAAGTAAATAGTATTCTTTCTTTGTATCTGAATTTGATTTTGAGGATGAGGAAATAAAAACATGCTATTCTGGTACTCAAGTCAGTAAGCCACAGTAACATGAAATCTAAAGCCACATTTAAAAAAATAAAAATCACATAAAAATGGAGCATTCTATTGGTATCTACAGTTTTGGGGATGAGGAAGATAAACATTTTCAGTTAAGATCTCATTACAAGAAAAACAAACTTCTAAATTTCCATCTATGCCAGTACTGATTCTAGGGTTTGAGACTATCTTAAAGCAAATCTCAAATGTTGTCCTTGAACTTCTTCATATTGTATTTCCTAATACTACAAGATTGACTACTTTTCAAAACAAATTATTCCTGATCATCAAAATGATAGCCTCTACATCCCATCAGATTCTTTTTCTTTTTTAATATATTTTATTGATTTTTTTTTTACAGAGAGGAAGGGAGAGGGACAGAGAGCTAGAAACATTAATGAGAGAGAGAAACATCAACCAGCTGCCTCTTGCACACGCCCTACTGGGGATGTGCCGGCAACCAACGTACATGCCCTTGACTGGAATCGAACCTGGGACCCTTCAGTCCGCAGACCGACGCTCTATCGCTGAGCCAAACCGGTTTCGACTCCCATCAGATTCTTTGTGAAATGAGATTACTTAGTTCCTAAGAGCACAGATATATGTTCTGTCAAACCCATCCTATCTAATGAAGAGGGAATATGCTAATTTACCCTCACACCATTGCAAAGATGGCAGCACCCACACCCAATAAGGAGGGAATATGCTAATTTGACTGCCCCATCCTCAAAGATGGTAGTGCCCACAGTCACAAGATGGCAGCACCCAGTCCCCTCAGCCCCACCAGGGCAGTAGGCATGAGGTTACCTCCAGAGTCCCCCAGTCTCCTCAGCCTTCTAGCTGCCCAGGGCTGGCCAGAGGTGCAGGCAAGCCTTGATGTTGGCTGCCCAGCTGCCCAGGGCCACCCGAGGCTCAGGTAACAAGGGCTGGCCAAGGCTTGCACTGCTGGCAGTGGCAGCAGCAGAGGTGTGATGGAGGCGTTGCCTTCCCCTGATAGCTGGGTCGCCTCCTGTCCCTGAGGGCTCCCAAACTGTGAGAAGGGGCAGACGGGGTTGAGGGACACCACCCCCCCCACCGCCAGTTCCAGTGCACATGCACTGGGTCTCTAGTCTTTAAAATAATGAAACACTTCATAGTGAAGCTACTAGAGGTACATTTACAGTTGCAATTTCAATAAGGAGCTCACATGAGAAGAAAAAAATCAAATGAAAAGAAACTATTTTAATGCAAACCGTAATGTATCATAAATGTATCAACTGAAATGACACTACTTTTCCAATAGAATAATACGGTATCTTGCCAATCTGGTTACTGGTAGTGAAGAGTTATAGGAATATTATTCTATTATAGCTTCAGAAAAACTGTAAAACTCACCAAAAGTGATCCAGTCATAAATATTGGGTTATATACCTGAATCACAGTTCAATACTTTGTTCAGAAACTGCTAACATTTTTCTGTTGAAAGAATACTATCATCTTCATTTGTAATGATATTTACTTTATGAAAGATGAAAACACATCAAAATTTAATTGTGAAAATACATTCAAATGAAAACTTTAACACACTATACATTCAAATTAAGCCAACTGCTTGTTTTCTAAGTCAATACAGTCTTCAAGAAGATTTTAATTATTTTTAAAAGAAAAAATGAGCCCAAGCCCGTTTTGCTCAGTGGATAGAATGCCTGTATGTGGGCTGAAAGGTCTCAGGTTCGATTCTGGTCAAGGGCACATGCCCAGGTTTCAGGCTCAATCCCCAGTAGGGGGCATGCAGGAGGCAGCTGATCAATGATCCTCACTCATCATTGATGTTTCTTTCTCTCTCCCTTCCTCTCTGAAATCAACAAAAATACATTAAAAAAAAAGAAAAAATGAATATTGATTCACTCCTTTTTTTACATTTGCTATTTTTAATTAAATTTATTGGGTGACACTGTTTAATAACATTATATAATTTCAAGTGATCCACTCCCTTTTTTTGTTAATTGGTAAGTAAGTTAAACCCAGTCTTGAAATTTGCTGGTTTGGGGAGAAAAAAAGACTGCAATTTAAAATTATATTCAGTTAATAAGGTAATGTACTTTAAAATAAGCAATTTCTTTCCTAATGAGCTTAAAATAAATTTTATTCTCAAGAGGCAGAAATACCAACTTACCAGCTTTGTGCCTCTTTTAATTTCCTTTTGGACATCTTCAATAGAAAATCCACCAAGACTCTCATTATCAGAGTGTGATGATACCAAAGCAGATGAAAAGAGCTATAAATTACATTAAAAAAATTAAGGTTATACTTAGAGAAATTACAGTGAAACAGTGAATAAGATGTTAAACTTAAAAGGAAATATTCTTAAAAATTTAACTGAGTTTTTCTTCTTTCTTTTTTTAGAATTCAGGACTATTCATTAATATTCTTATGGTTTCAAGTCTCTCAGTTGCTGCTGGTATACTTACCATGCACTTATGGTGTGCTGCCACCTTCTGGTTTTCAGATATTAGTAACTGTCCACATTCCTTGTCTCTATTTGACTTACAAAAGCCACATTTGCGCTGTCTTGTAGGCCCCCTTTTCTGTTCAACTGAGCTTGACATGATTTTTAAGTTGCCTTTAGAATGCCACTTTATAAGCCCCAAGAAATGCTAGAGAATAAGAAGGGCAACAAAATGGTTAATTTCATTTAAAATCAGTGTACACATAGTCAGGTAAGTTGTTTAATGTCTTAATTAAGTTCTAATATATGCATTTTAAATGGCTTTTTAGTGATTTTAGACAAATCACTATTAAAACTTAAGATGCCTCCATAATGAACAAATATGTAATTATGTATAGCCTAATGAAGTAATTCAAAAAAAAAAATCAAACTGCTCCCAAATTAGGGGATATGTGAATTAGAACTATTTCTGCATGGATAAATAAAAAAATGTACAATGTGTGATATTAAATTCATCATCTGCTGACATAATTAATGCAACATATTTTTCATGTATAGGCAGGTGCTCCTTCAAGGAAACAAAAAATTATATATCTAAGAGAAGAGCAAAAACTACAACTACACAATGCCCAGAATGAACAGAATTCTATAACTGTATAATTCCTTAAAGTTTACATATTGGTAAACAAAAAAAGAAATAAATGTAATTAATGATGATTTTGGAACACTTATTTTAACTTGAATTCCATTCAAGTTAAAAAATCATGTATGTGTCTGTAATAAGTTAATTTTTGCTATTGTATTCCATTTTTAAGAAAAAAAAAATAGGCTTATAGCAGTATATTCAAAAATATAAACTTTAGGAATTAGTTATTTATAAAAATAATTGTATTATCTAACTCAGATTTACTCCAAAAGTCTGCTTATTAAAGTTACAAACTAAAAGTAGCATTCTAAATACAATAAATTTCACATTTACTTAGTAATATTGTATAGTTAGGAAAATATTTCTGAATGAGTCTTAAACTCGGTCAAACTATAATTATAGGTAGGATAGTCAAACAAAAAAGGGAAGAAAAGCTCTAACATATAAGTTTCAGATTTAGATCATCAAGCTCAACACATATTCTTCAGAATGTAAATGTAAAATCAGTTACTTGATTTGTGTAGTTTTTCCAAATCAGCAGAACTAAGCAGTTCAGGAACCAGGTTGCCACAAAATAAATCACAATGAATAAAATCTCAAATTTTGGTCTTAAAATTTACTATATTTTTCAATTTTTGACAAATCTTAATATTTTCATAATATCGTACTATGTTGAAAAATAGACTCATTAACACAACATTGTAGCTTTCTGAGATGCACTTATTCACCAAGACCAGTAACACTGGATGTCAGCAAGGTAGTAGCTACAAACCATTTAGCACTTGACAATATAAAAATGCAGATACTTGGTCAAAATTTCAAGTGAAGCCACAAAGAAAGAGTTCTTATCAACTTATATCTAGATTTTTCTTTTTAACAAAACTTCAAAGGCCCTGAAGGTCTCTGTGTTGATGAGTTTAACAAACTTTCAATGCCAATTTTAAATACTGGTACCTTGGTCTTCCAAATGGCATAGAATGGTACTGTATTCACAGCACTGGTTATAAACTGTGAAACTGTTTGAAAATAGGCAGCAAATACTTTTAAGATTAAAGGGGGAAAAAGAACATAACAAAGAAACAAAAGAAACAAAAGGGGAAGTGTGTTTGCATTTGATCAGGCAAATATGTGTTCAGTTGCTTTATCAAGAATATAGCTGCCAAAATCTTTAGAATTAACTATGCAAAACACCAAATTAATAAATAGCATCAAACTTTGCTATTTCTGTTCTAAAATAGTTTTTTTCCCCCCTACTATGCAATAGCAGGCACTATGAAACCACTGTAATATATTCAGCATTTCTCCCGCTCATCCTTGGCCATTTGAAAGGATGGCACATTGTGAATCTAATTTGTACAGACATCATTAATGTGTAATTTCTATACAAAGCTAGCTAGCATAGGCTATAAAATCGGCTTAAGATAAAGAAAATTCTTAACGTAGAAAATCACTTTTTATTCTTGAAATTAATTCTGAAAATGGTACCCTCAAAATTTTATCCATATTGAATTCTGCCTCTTTCAATTTATAAACAGGTAAATTTCTCATCCTAATTTTGAGAACCTGATTTTCTGGCTATCAAAGACCCCCAAATCCAAGAGAAGATATGTAGTACATTTTATTTTGCATTCAAAGATATTTTAGTGTATTTTTTCTGTAATCGGTATAAATATAATTTGTAAAATGAACAGAAACACACAAAAGTCACAAAACCAATAAAAACTTTCCCCAATGTACAATGACTGAATGGATTTTTCCACTAAAATTCAAATAATGCATCTGTGCACATCTTGCTAATTTTTTTTCAGCCTCCTTATAAAACATGAAGTGGAGATCATCATGGAAACAATGAGTCCTAGCAAAAAAATATCTTTATCATAAAAATGCAGATTTTTACCTAATGCTGTCACATTTGTGGTCTTCCAGTTAAGGAGAATAAGGGCATTCCAAGGACCTAATCCACACGGCTAAATGGCATTTTAATTTTAGTTTAAAATGTTTTTCAGGGCATGCAAAGATCAAAGTTTGATGCCTTCACCCAACAATGAAACCTTTTCCATTAAAGAAACATAACATTATAGGCAATGTTACAAAGCAGAAATAAAGAAGCAATGATAATAGCGGTGAAAAACAATTTAAATGTCTGAAAAACATAAAAGCACGATTAGTTAAGCTGAAACAACCGATGCATTTCTGATTTTCCAAGATGCTGTGAAACACCAAGGTAGAAATAAACTGAAACATCAAGGAGAGCATTCAAGAGCTCACTCGAGAGCACATTCAATGACTGGTATCTGGAAAGACCATTTTCACAGAAAAACAAACAAACAAAAACTGCAGTACCAGAAGATCAAACAATTCTACATGCAAGCCGGTTGAAATATACAGATCAAAATACATAAATGCGATCCCCACAAAAGCAGCATTTATGTCAGGAAAGTTACAGTGAAGAGAAATAAACGAATAAGAAATGAACCGGAAGGGCACCTGAATTTGGTTGCACGATATTACATGCTTCACACTGCTTCTTGCGGTTATTCAAAAGGAAACTGAAGGAATTTTCCAGTTGTTTCAAACCCAAGGGTAGAGAAAAAATGTGATCTGTATGAATAAGACCTGATATTATGTCCATAAGCCGATGAAAAGGAAGGGTTTTTCAATTACTAAAGGATTTTTCAACTTCCACACAGAATATCGAAACGACCACATTTCAAAAGAACGCCGTGCTGTTTGTGCATATAATAAAGGATAATACTCATAACGTACCGGATCCTCTCCGTTATTTATTCAATACACACTAGACTCCGAGATCTCCCTCGAATCTAGCGCTAGATAAACTCGCAAAACTATCTTCCTCTAAAGCACTTGAGCAGGTTCCTTTCTGTCGTCAAGTCGGGGTCCCCTAACTGTCCTTTCCAATCCATCCGAATCCGGGAAAATATCATCCCACCACTTTCCTTAACCCTCCTCCCCTAGGAGTTCGCCCTCTAAGTCTTGCTTTCACATCTGTTTCACCCCTAATCCCCACCCCACCCCGGAGTTTTTCCTCTTTCTGTTAAGGCTAACCTTCTGGCCATCCTAACAATTCTTCCTCTTACTCTTCCCAAACTGGGAGTCTCCCTCCTTCCCAAATATGTACTAAGCAAAAGGCAAAGACTAGAAATACCCAGTATTTTTCCTCCCGAAATGTTGCGCTCCCTCCCCCGAAGTCTAGGCTGAAGCCTCACCTCTCCCTTAGCTTCTCTAAATTACTTTTCTCGGCAGCCTCCGAGCCCAGCGCCTTCAATGAGCGGCGCTTCTGGGGTCCCCGACAATAAAGCGAGACCACCAAGAGTCCCCCTTAACAACGGGCAGGGGCGGCGGCCTGGCTACCGCCATCCTCCTTGTCTTCTCCCGCCAGGCGTAGAATGGGGGGCCCCGGGGTGCTGTGGGGACTCACCGGCGGAGCCCAGAGGCGAACGGCGGGGGAGAAGCGCCAATGAGGGGGAAGAGAAAGAAGTCGGTCTCGGTTCTCCAGCAGCGCCTCAGAGCGGGGCTCTGTCGCCGGAGGTTGTTTCCTTTCATTCGAGGAGACCAGCTCGCAGAGTGCCCTTACGTCGCTCCCCCCGGCACGCAACGACTCAAAGGGCGTTAGACGCCCGAACGCGCCGCGGCTTCTGATTGGCTGGAGTGAAGGGACAACTGAAGCCGCAGGACCACGGCGCATGTGCAGACACCGCCCCTAGTGAGGAGCTGGGCAACAGGCCCCGCCTCCTGCTCGCGCGCGCGTACCTTCTATTCTCCGGTCCATCGCTCAGCCAAGTGTTTGGGGGCAGGAGCCGACGAGACAGAGAAAGAGATTCAAAGCCGTAACTGTGGGTTGGGGGGAAAAGAAGCAGGGTTAGGACCAGAAACCATTGGGCAGGGACCCTGGGTAACCAGTTTTCAACGGTGATTCATCTGGGTAGGCCTTATCCCTTGCACTTGTTCGCCGAGGCCTTTTCACATCCATTCTTTCATTGTACTCTCATGGCATCACTTTAAGGTCCTTCGTCCTCTCGTTTTACTGCCAGGAAAGACTGAGAAGCTGGTAGCGGAGTCTGCCTCAATTTCAATCCTTGGGTGAATCGTTTTAATCTCTGGACCTTAATTTTCTGTCTTTAAAATGGGGATAAAGAATACTATCTAACGCACATGTGTCAAACACAAGGCCCGCGGGCCAAATCCGTCCCGCCAGGCCTTGCAATGTGGCCCGCACCGCGCTGTCATCACTACACTCCGCTGCGTTTCCATCACAATGACAGTTTATGACTGTTCAGTAAACCATTCGGCCCGCGATTTAGGCTGGATTTTAGATTTTGGCCCCTTCTGAGTTCGACACCCTTAATCTAACGGGTTTATTGTGAGGAAGAAATGAAATAATGCAAGTGTGCATGAACGTCCCTGGCATATAATAGGCCCTCTATAAATGCTGACATTATCATAATCAGAAAAGATAAGTGATTTTTTCTTTTACAACTCACACGGGTAAATCAGGCATTTAAACGAACACTTACCTCTTTGATGTATGAAGAAAGGATGCTTGGGTTGGAATCCCAGCTCCCCCACTCTAGCTCTAGGACCTCGATCGCGGTGCATTTCTTCTCTCTCCCTCAATTTCACCAAGTCTAAATCTCCTAGGGATGTAATGAGAAATTAGAGAAATGAGTTAATATATGTAAATTTCATAGAATAATACTTGGACATACAGTATGCTCTATATATGGGTCAGCTTATGTTATTTTCTACTTGGCTCACTAGTGCAAGCTGGTGGTTTAAGCGGGGTGGGGTTGGACGGGAGGTGGCCTAACAAACAAATGAAACTTTAAAGATGCCTTTTAAGTAGCTACTTTTCCTGACAGGAGGGGAGGAAGTGGCTTTCCACTGCTTTGATACAATGTTGTTTCATTCTTCATATTTTCCCCTGCAATGTCAGCCTTAAATTGTTATCCTTAAGGAAACAGTAAACACATTGGAGTAACATTGTATCCCATACAAGCAAGTAACCATATTAGCAGTCATTTAACTGCATGGTACCCTTACCCCTTTCACTCAGGCCCTGTACCATGAAAGGGGGTGGCTTGAGATTTACCAAGACTCAGAATGTGTATACAAACATCTACAATATATTTGAAAACAGGTCCTTGAGTATAATTTTCCACCAGCTTTATACACTTAACTGATGTCAAAATGAGACTGATGATTGTGTCAGTAACAAAATGCAGTGCCTATCCACTATGTGTGTTTTTTTAGATTTTTCCCAAGACTACCACATTTTGCTCTTTTATTCATTCCATCATCCATGCATTCATTTCAACAAAATTTGATTCAATAAACATCTGCAAAACTAATTTCCAAACACAAGAGAGACATAGATTGACTCCTGACCTTGAGCTCATGATCTAAAAGGCAGACAGAAAAACAAATACACAGTATGATGTGATAAATGTTATATTAGAGGTATGTGCCTGGTGTAGACACATCCTCAGCCTATTATGTACAAAGCACTATGCTAAGGTACAACAAAACAGTGAATAAGACACAGCCTTTGCCCTCCCCTCTTTACAGCCTAACAAGGAAAAGACAAATAGCTGTCATAGGAGATGGACTGTGGTAAGTGCTTTAAAAGTTGGAAACCCCAACTTTTTTTAGTTTCAGGCCCCAAGTCTGGTAGCCAGCTCCAATTAGCACAACTGATAAATGCAGCCAGTTATTTCAAGGGCTACAGAAAGGAGTCAGATTGTGATAAGAGGCTCTTAACAGTGCCTGAGGATATAGCATAGGATCTCCTAATCTCTTATTGATCTACCACTACGCTCCCACCAACACTCTTCCTGCCTTTTCTTCAAGCTCTAGATACCATTTACTGTACCTCATTCTCAGCAAAGGCCTAACTTCCTGACTGAGTAGGGCCTTCTGAGCTAAGCAATATCTTCTACACCCATCCTTTTTTGCTTCCTTCAAGACTCACAGAAAGAATTGTCCTTTTGATTTTTAAAGCTAAAGCTGTGGTTTTAATCACATCTCTTCTGTGCTCTGGAAAAACTGATTTCCTACTTATTCCTTGCTCCAGCAGCATCAATTGCCTGGGTCTCATTTGCTTTTAAACACATAAGATTCCTCTACCTTCACTGCCAGACTGTGTTTTTTTTGCTTCTAATTGCTCTCTGATCACTCATTCAGCAGGCATTTGCAGATATTTTTTTGTATGCCAGGTATTATGCCAGACATTGGGGATTTGGAAAGGAATAAGACAGTTCCTGCCTTCAAGGAAATCTCAGTCTGAGGAAGAAAATCAGGTGTTTCTAATGAGGAAGAAAACAGAATTTCAGAACAATAGGTAAAATGCTATAATAGAATTATGTACCACAAAGATTGATGAATTTGTCCAGAAGAGGAGGAAATACATCCCTAGAGAGGAAATGCTTTGAGTTGGGTCTTGCAGGACAGGTCCAGGCCCCACAAAATCTAGATTTCATCTCTACCTTTGCACAACATTTCTCTACCTTCATTCTTTTTTCCCCTTTCTTTTCTATCTTCATTCTTGACATCTCTGTTGCACTTTTTAGCTATATCCTTCTTCTTAAACTTTCACCTACCTCAGTTCCCAAGGACTCTAACCCTGGCTCTCAGGTTACTATTTTAGTCTCTTCTCACTTTATAATACTGGCTTTGCCCTAGAAGAGTCTTAGACCTTCGGGTGGTCTATTGTAATTCCACCCCAGGGGTTCTTAAACTGTGAAAGTGAGAATTACTTGAGGAGCTTGTTAAACATACAGATTTTTGCAGTCCCCTCCCCCAATTTGAAGGTCTAGGTGCAGGTATCTGTCTTCTCAAACTGCCTAGCTATTCTGATTCAGACTGTTGAGGGCCACACATTAAGAAACTGCTCTCGGTTTGGCTCAGTGGATAGAGTGTCAGTCTTCGGACTGAAAACTCCCAGGTTTGATCCCTGTCAAGGGCATGTACCTTGGTTGTGGGCACATCCCTGGTAGGGGATGTGCAGGAGGCAGCTGGTCGATGTTTCTCTGTCTATCCCTCTCTCTTCCTCTCTATAAAAAAAATCAATAAAATATATTTTTTTAAAAAGAAAAAGAAACTGCTCTCAAGCACTAACCAGTTTGGCTCATTGGATAGTCAGCCTGTGGACTGAAGGATTCTGGGTTCGCTTCTGGTCAAGGGCACATGGTCGGGTTGTGGGAGGAAGCTGATCAATGATTCTCTCTCATCATTGATATTTCTAACTCTCCTTCTTCCCTCCTCTCTGAAACCAATTAAAAAAAAACATTAAAAAAAGGAACTGCCCTTCCATTTTTTTTGTAGAGATTTATCAAGTATATAATCCCTTGACTTCACTATAACCTGTATACAACTGCTTAGCAACTGCATCTGCTCTGCTTAGATCAGCCTGTCCTTGAGCTTAAATCACTAAGACCAGTACAAGCAAGTTCATTCTGTCCAGCAACTAAAAAGTAATTCCTTTCCCATCTTCAGTGTTTCCATGTTAAATGCTGCTAGAATTTCTGCTTCTGCTCAAAGCAAAGGCTAAACCCACCCACATGCCTATGACTTTCCTTCTGGCTGTAATCAACAACAGTGGATCCTTCATTCATTCATCAAGTACATTTTGATCACTTATTATGATAGATAAAATTGGATATGGTCCAACTTGATGTAGCAGCAGAGACAGACCTTAATCAAGTAATCACATAAACAAATATAAAATTACAATGGTGACTAGTGCAAAAACAAATACTATAAATGGCATTTAAATGGAACCAAGGTTTATTTGCATTTTATACTCTGGGCACATTAAAAACAAAGAATAAGAAATATTAAATGTGGATGGATTAAGAATTTTAAATGTTTCTGTGAAAAATAAAATAATATTGCCCTAGCTGGTTTGACTCAGTGTGTGGACCGAAGGGTCCTGGATTTGATTCCAGTCAAGGGCATATGCCCAGGTTGCAGGCTCACTCCTCAATAGGGGTCATGCAGGAGGCAGCCAATCAACGATTCTCTCTCATCATCGATGCTTCTCTCACTCCCCCCTCTCAAATCAATAAAAATAACCTATCGAATAAAAGAGTAATGTGCAAATGAACCATCACTCTGATACACCATAAGCCACGCCCACCAGCCAATCATGACTGAGTGTGCAAATTAACCCAAACCAAGATGGCTGTGGCCAAGGAGTGAGCAGGAGGCTTGGGTTACCCCGGCACTGGAGGAAGCCAAGTTTTCCACACACTCTGGCTGGCCCAGGCCTCCACTCCAGGCTACAAAGCTTCAATTATAGAAGATAAATAAATGCCAAGAAAAATGGCTACGGCCATGGAGCAAGCAGGAAGCTTAGCTTCGCTCCAGGCTACAAAGTTTCAATTATAGAAAATAAATAAATCCCAGATACCGGGGCCTCCACTTGGGTTGCCAGGGGGCATGGACAGCCTGCAAATCACCACAGGCTCCTGGCCCAAGCCGCCCCATGCCCCAAGGGAACCCCCACCTTGATCCGGGACACCCTTCAGGGCAAACCAGCTGGTCCCCACCC